TAGAGAAACCAGTCGCGAAAAATGAGACAAAAGTGAGCAAATTACTAAAAAAAAGGTGAATACTATAGAAGAGCGCTTGTCTCGTATGGAAGAGGCATACAATACAAGTACTAGACATGTTCGCGAACATTCACGATCCACACACCCCCTCCTGGGGAAACAGAAGATGCGTCTGGAGAGGGTGACGCGGAAGAAGTGAATCAGAGGAAATGATATCAAGGAGGCCTCAAAGAATGTTTAGCCGATGATGAGTGTCCCGGCTTGCGTACACCGAGCGAACCATGCCGGCTCCAGCTCGCTTCACGCCGATGTATTTCTTTGACACAAAGTTCTTCATATAGCAACCCGTACCCTTCTTGGTATCGTCAAGTTTCGAATTACGGTAACTGGCGTCGTAAAAGCCTCCAGGAAAGCTATTCCGGAAGTTTAAAGAAGTAATACGGCTATTATACAAGATGAACCTTGTTGTCCTCCGGAAAGTCGTCGGCGAAGGAAAGTACACAGATGTTGCACAATCCTCCGCAGCCACCACTGAGACGATCAGATAAAGCGAGGGCGCAACTCAGTTACAAGGTTTGTTTGACTGTTAAACGTTTACGGATCATTAAAAATCCTTAGTTTCACACCAATGATATCACATGACTGACAACGGCAAAGGCGAAAGTATCTTCTACCTGTACAGAGGTTACGATTGGAGAATGGATAATCATATTCCACCATCTCTTTGCATAGAGTGTTAAACAAAAAACTTCTTTGTACTGAAGCTTTTCGAGTGGTTGTAAACCCAATCTGATTAAGCAATGCCAATACAGTAATCAAAATGTAGGCCGGTATGAAATCGTGTACACACTTAAGCCAGGTGGGTTCGAAGCTTTTTCTTATGGGACACAGTAGCTTCTGTTCTGTTCTTGTTTAGTTGGTTTGCCGGTTTCTTTTTCGCCATCTTTGGCGTTGTTCCAGCCGATATTTTGCTTTGCGTGTTAGCTTCTCAGTTTTTCTAGGCAACACCGCTATCCATGGTAAGTCTCCCTGGACGCAGGCGCTCTAACACACTCCCTTCCTATGTGCAGTTCAGCGACGCATTTGCGGCCGCTAGGAGACTAGGGCTCCACGTGCAAGCGAGGCAATCACCTTATCAAAAGCAACCAACAACGATACCCGGTTCCGGGTTTCCTGGTTGACTGGGATGTAAGTCAATATTTTTCGACTTTGTACCATATTATAACAGATCATTTCAATTAGCCCAGTATATTTGATAATGCCTCAGTCTAGAATATTATCAGAGATTAGAGAAGCACTGACTGACAGCACCCCTAGCAGATCCTAACTCTTCTTCTGATATGTGCAATTCGATCGTAAGTTTACTGCTTTTGATTTCTCCGTAATGTAGCTATGTGGCATGGCAGGAGTAGTTTGGTGATTAAGTCGTACCTTTCTTTAAAGAGAAAGGCAAAATGAAAGTAATTTTTAGGAAAAGAAAACCGAACCTACAATGCAGGACTATTTTTCGGGCGAACTAGCGCCCAATGTTTCCTTCAATTGTCGCCTATTTTGGGAAGACCGTTTTAGTAAGAGCAGAATTTGCGAGAATAGAGAATCTTTGTTTACAGTTTTTGCCTCGTTAACGTGAACTTATTATTTTCTTACATGATTATAACACCATTCAAGTTTGTCTACCCGTGCTTTCTTCTGTATTTGCTGTGTTATTTTTTTACCTTCCCGGCCTTAAATGTTTTGAGCTGTTATTTCTATGTTTCACTCAATTTCAATTAGTGACGCCGCGGTTTTCGGTGTTTGAATTTTGATAAATTTCGGGACACAGCTCCTTTAACATTTTGCCACCCAGCAAATGTAGCTTGCGAAGAGCTGAAAATTGCGCCAATTGTTCACGTCGACCAGCTCTTTTAACTTTTGAGTGACTTTGCTTTAAGTCGTATGCTGATGAGGAAAATGCAAACAATGACGTGAGCAAATTTTCTCGCATTAGTCACTGAAAACGGTACCGTGTGTCTGTCCGCCATGTTGATTTCCTCTAATCTCGTGCGCGGTATAGACTGGATCTAACACCGTAAGGAAATCGCAAAAATGCCATTGCCAAAACCTCCGTTTTTTCCACCCACACGAGTACAACAAAATAGTGTTTTCAAAAATCTCCACTCTGGAAAGTATTTTTGAAAAGATGCGTTTTCGGTAGGACAAACTGGAGGGGAAACAAATCTTGTACAAATACCTGTGGGCTGGGATCAGTGACTCGTGTACCACCACAACCCCATCGAATTCTAGTGCTCTTGTGCCAAACCCCCGCCCCAGTGCCCACAAAACCAATTTAAAACAGAGCTAAGTATGCTGTTGATAAAGTGGATCAAATAATCCAGGCCGAGTTTTACCTACTCTTAACCTACGTCATTATTTGTTTAGATACCGTTTCCAGGATATGCTCCTCCAAATTATACAGCGTTTGAAGTGATGAGTCAGGCTGACTGGGCGGACATCGATATCTTGGAGTAAGAACGATTTAATTATCTTTACGTCAATAAACATGCGTTAAATTTGACCTGAAAAATCTTAATTTTTATCTTTCAAAGAAAAAGATACCTTCTATATTACACCGTTTATAACAGGAATCTTTCAACATGCGTTTCTTTAACAATCCCCTAACCTGTTCCAGGCCTCCAGGTAGTAGGGAGTGGCGCGAAATGGAGAGTGGAGGAGAAAGAAAGGAAGAAAGAAAGGAATCGGGAGAGAGGAGGGAACTCCCTCTATCCCCAACCCCTCGCTGTGTTTTCCTGTTCAGTGTTCTTTACGCCGTACCCATTATCTGAATGCCCCCAAAATTTTCCTACCAGGGAGTTGTCATGAGAATGCTGTAGAGGATCGCCCCTGATATTAGCAAACGTTTTTACCAATGCGTTTGATTTATGCGCTTAAAGGCAAGCGAGTTGCTGCCTGTCAGAAGTTCATCATAAATGCACGGCAACATCCATCCACGGAGACCCAGGAGCTGCTAGTCGGGACGATAGAATGCTCGTGGTGAAAGTTTACTATAAGATCGAGACGAGCCTCTGAGCACTTACTCTTACCGCACCAGTTCCAGAAACGTTTGAAGCGCCTGCTTCTGATTGGCCAGAAAAAAAAACAATTTCTGGTCAATCAGCGAAGCCGGACGACTCTAGTTTTTTCTTACACGACGAGGAAAGTTTCCTAACCAAATGTTAACGAAGCCGGAAAGATTAGAAAGTTTCAGAAGTCGTGCAACGAACATGGAGATCTAAAATGTAAGCTTGGCGTTATATACTAGACAATGTGAACAAGGTGTGGGGCTCTTCTCGATCTTATAGTAAACTTTCACCACGAACATTCTATCGTCCCGACTGATTGCCCCTAGGTCTCCGAGGATGGGCAACCTCCTCCCCTCATGAAACTGAGTTACCCCCTCCCCCATGTAGCATGAGTCTGAATACTCTCTTCGTTCCCGCAATCCGAGACCCGCACTTGGTCGGAATAATAAACTAAATGATATTGTTACTGTCAAACATTAAGATATTGTGTAATTGTGTATACCTATTGCTGGCCTACCCAGCAATTCAATCAATGGTGAAATTGGGTAAAATAAACAAGCATCTATCTATCTCTCTATCTGTCTATCTATGCGCGTTTTTTTATTATTATTATTATTTGCACAATATGTTAGCACTTTCTCATCTTAGACCTCAAAAAATATCCGTAGAAATTCCCAGTTAATAGCCGCTTCCTATGGCTTTTGGTAGGGAGTAACATTCTTTGCATTTTTTATTCTATTAATATTGTTACTATTATGTCTTTAGACCAGCGTATAAACATGTAGAACTAAATTTCAACGATGTTGGTAGAGGTGTGGACAGAAGAAGCTATCAAGGTGTTTATGAAGTCGTTAATGGTGTACCACGGTAAGTTAAACATATTTAACATTATTAGAGCAAAATCGAAGTCAATCCAAGGTCAAATAAGGCGCATTGGTTATGAATTCCGCCATACGGTCGATCCGCGATAACTCGACTCGGATAACCCGAACTTTCAGCTAACTCGAACTAAATCCCATTTCCCACCCCACTTTTCAGTTATTTTCACTCGGTTAACTCGAATTCCCCTCTAAGTCCAATTACTTAAGAAACACATCAAGAAACGAGAAAGGAAGTGGAGCCGAAATGCGTCCCGCAATTGTTTCTGGGATAGTTACTAGGGACGCACCCGTCAGTTATTGGTTATATTTCCCTGTCCCTAGCTACAGTCCCAGAAGTCTTTTGCAAAGTTAACTCGACCCTGGGGCCCGTTTCTCGAAAGACCCGGAAATTTTTCGGGCCCCAAGGCAAATTTTAAATTCAAAACCTGTTGATTATTAGCACAGTTCCTAGCCCACAAACCAGTTAAACTTGCTTCGATAACTGCTAGTTTCATTATATTATTTTCAAAATTATTGAAACTGTGATCTTAAATGCAAACACAACAAACATAAAACAGTTACCGGAACTTTCGAGAAACAGGCCCTCGTTTTCTGCTCAGTTTCTAAAGTGATGAATGTGTAAAAAGTGCTGTCACGAGCTCTCGATAGACACAGCATCTTTTTTTAATTTGGCTTTTATTAACACTGCCCTCTACTAACTATGATAATCGCAAAGGCCGATGTTCTGCGCTCTGACCCGCATAGGAACCAGGAACGTTATCCTTTATAACATGTTGACCTTAATTTATGTAACCTATCACACCACACCTTACACTATAACATTTTAACACTTTTAATCGCATCTCCATCAGCGTAACAGTTTATATGAATATATGCGTTAATGTAAATATTGTAAGGAAAAAACTACCCACTGGTAACTACAGGTCTCTATACCTAGCAACCTGCTTTGAATGATTTTGGCAAGCAGAATTGACCTTTTATAATTCACCATATTATCTATCTCATATAAACTGTGACGTATTATGAATTTGTTTTGTTTTCTTTTTTTCATAGAAATCCAATGGGCCGCACGGGAATTGCTGGAAGGGGCCTTCTGGGACGCTGGGGACCAAACCATGCCGCTGACCCTATTGTAACGAGGTAAATAATGTACTATTACACGTCGTAAACAGATTAAATATATTTGAACAATGAAGTTATGAAAGTTCAATTCACAAGTGGCACTTTGAGTGTAAACTTACGTTGGGTAGTTCAACAGACGCGCAACTGAAATTCTGCGATGTGTACAGACTACTATCAACGACTCACTTTAGAAAGCTGGTTTAGTAACTTAGAACAAACGCCACTGAATCGTAGTCAACAGTTACCGGCGCCGTACAAACGACTTATTGACGAAATCAAGCAAAACTAACTACAAGAAAGGACTGGACAACTGACAATTTGACTAACAATAAACAACTGTTTAACTGTGACAACTACCGCACAGATTGTCGAAATGTCATTCACTGTCAACAACAACAGTCCTGTTCAGGATTACGTTCACCCGGACGATCATACTCAACCTACTTATGATATGACTCTGGGTTCAAACCTTTCACTGAAAATAATACATCATGCAAAGCTCCTAAACGACACTACGGCCAAAAAGTATTTTCGCTACGTCTTACATAACTCAAAGGTGCGCTACACTTAGACTTTCTTACCTTCATTTCCTGTCTCCTACTTCACGTGAATTTACTTTTATGAAATCCATAGGAAATTCGAGTCACTTGCAATCAGGTTGCCTAAACTGTCAAAGGTAAAACTTTCTTTTGGACGCAAATCTCACCCCTAACACGGCCAGAAATAAACCCAAGTGAACAAAAATCCATTCAAAATTCCTAAAAGATGGTAGTATTATGGGTAGTTCAAGACACCATCAGCACTCGGATCCCCTGGTTAACGTAGAAAAAAATGGTTAAAAGAAACCACGACCAGTCAGCAGAGCAAGAGACTGAATAGCGGACCATCATCTCTACCAATGCAGCTGTTCACGGTGTGCTCGCTTTAGGTGACTCCAGCTAATTCTCAGTGTTAAGAATTATGTTCACTCCGCAATATGTATGTTTCCGCTTTTCACAGATGGAAAAAAACTCCCAAAGGAACGGTGATGGAACGTTTTGGCAAGAGTGTCTTAGAATTTGTAGCCATCCAAAGACAGGACAATCTACAATGGGCTTTACCAGGAGTGAGTTAAGGGGTTAATGTTATTTTTATTTCTTCAGCTAGGGCTTCGTGATCTCATTTCCGTGTATTTTTGTTTTTTGGTTGTCCTGATGCGGTATATGGTCATTATACGGACTACCACAAAAGAGTACAAAGGTTACGCACAATATTACAATGCAAATACTTTACACTGAAAAGTGACAAAAACTGACGCAGTACAGCTGAGTTTGTCCATTTTATCAGGGTGACCTGGCAGTTGGGTTTAAATATATTGCGCTAATAAAGACGACTGCATGTATTTGTTAGGGAATGGTTGAAGTGGATGATACCGTTTCTAAAACCCTTAGAAAGGAGTTTTGTGAGGAAGCTTTGTGTTCTGAAGGAGCTACTCAGGAGGAAAGACAACTAATAACTGAAAACCTTGAACAACTTTTCTCCAATGGCATCGCGGTAAGTAAGAGGCGCGAAACCATGAGATAAACAAGCTAAAGCTTCGGTCATGGTTGAGAAGTAATAGTAATCGTCATCATGATGATAATGATAATAATAATACTAATAATAATAACAATAATAATGATAATAATAATAATAATAAATATGATAATAAATTTGTTGCAGTTAAATGATAATGATCATAGTAATAGAAATAATAAAAATAATAACAATGGTTATTGTAACAATAGTAATAATAAATGACAGATATGACAAATTCGTTGCAGTTAGATGTAACAACACTGGCGACCCTAAGAAAGGGATAAGCATGCATTAAATCCCGTTTTTCAGTTCCTGAATTTACGTTTTATGACGTCGCACATGAGCTTGTCAATTTGTTGTCAGGTAACACAACATAAAAAGTTTTACGTTATGAGCACTTTAACTTTAAATTGTTGAAATAATTTAATTTTTAGGTCTACAAGGGATATGTCGACGACCCTCGCAACACGGACAATGCATGGATTGAGACTGTAGCAATGAATTATCACGATGACACAGGAAATATTCTTGACAACATTCAATTAAAAGTATGTATACTTACAAAAATCACCGGGCCTTCGTTACAGGGAATCAATGGATTTTTCTTTCATTCGCTCGATTTTGACATACTCGCGAGAGACTCAGCTGAACTACTCTGCATGAATCTATTTCATGAATTAATACAGTTTCGAACCCGGGCGTAATGGCCATGCGCTTGGTACAGCGCTGCGGGCACAGTTTCTGACTATCGGTTTATCAATACATGGATGCTCGCACTAGGAAACCCAGTTTGACGAGACAAAACAAGATTGAGTAGTCCAGGCTGTGCTAGCAGGATGGGCTACGCTTCTGGTGGCATGGAACGTTGTAACGTGAAAACAAGAATAAAAGCTGAAAGAAAAGCTTTCTTTGAGTCCGTGGGAATTTGCACTGAGTGTCAATTCGAAAGATAAATTTTTTGTTTTAGGTTTTTCTACCTTTATTTTGCTTCAGTTGGTAACAGACATGAGATTTCTTTATTTTTGACAGAAATTTGAAGGTATCACGATCGTTTCCTTTGTAATTAAACTCAGTTGATGATAATATGAACTATTCAAGGCACTGAAAAAACAGACAAGATGATCCAAAAACAGTAGATTCTTGAAATTTCAGTGTATTCAAAAGTATGTTACATAAGTAATATTGAATATTGACTACTAAAATACAAAGAACTAGTTGATGAAGTAGATTTGGTACCGTAGCTAAAGGGGACTGAGAAGCTGGCGTTTCGAGCGCTAGTATTCGCCTGAGCGAAAACCATAAACCAACCACACAACACTACTGATTCCTGTAAACTAAAACCTCTTCTTGCATCTGTTTTTTGAAAGGCTGGTGATGACGCCTGCGGTGTCCAATGGCAGGAGGTCAGTGGTCAGCTCAGTTTATATGCCAATCATATCTTCTTGCTGGAGAAAGTCGCAGAGCTGCATGCTGCATGCATACTACTAACGGAAAAGACAGCGTGAATACCTTGTCTGTAAATAAAGTACTTGCCTAGAAATTTTGATCGAAGTTACAGATGTAAAACAAGGTCCAAAATATATCTTGTACAGTCGAACCTCTCTAATTCGGACAACGAAGGGACAGAGCGAAGTGTCCATATTAGAGAGGTGTTCGTATTAAAGAGGTCACTACGATGACGTCACTTTTATAACTCCTCTTACAGTTTTATGTGTTCAGTAGCTAAAAACCAGGCTTACACTCGTCTTTAAACTGCATTTAAGTTTATTAATTCACAGTACAAAGACACTATCTTTCAATAGCATACAACATTGTACATATCAGCTGCGTACTGGTACAGTCGTAGAAAAATCACTGTTTCAAAACGAAACTAGCTACTGCGCAATGCTGCATGTAAAAAGTTGGAACGTAAAGCACAATATTTTGCAAGTTCAGTAAACGGTAACTAGAGTACAAAATGTAATAGAAAAGGTGTTTATGCTATCTGTAGTTATTCAAGCCTTATAAAAGTCGGTTATGTTCCTCTGTACACCTTTTGCAAATTTTCGTTTGATATACAGCGACAGGCTTTTGAAGTCACCTTGCATAGCTCATCAACCAGACGGGATTCACCTGATCTCGACTCGGGATTCACCTGATCACAGTGTCCGTAATAAAGAGGTTAAGTTTATACGAATTTACTCTCTGGGGCCGAGATTTAGTGTCCGTTGTCCGTATTAGAGAGAGTCCGTATTATAGAGGTTTTCTTTTAAGAAAATGTATGAGAATTTTGTCGGTACATTGGAAACTGTCCGTAATGTAGAGGTGTCCGTATTAGAGACGTGTCCGTACCGAGAGGTTCGACTGTATTTTTTTTTTTTTCTTACTCATTTCAACCGTCCGTAACAAAATTTGCCAAGTCAAGAAAATCTGGAGCTCTCCAAGCAATAACTTCGTTATCCTTGCTGGACTCATATGAGAACAAAGGACAATGAAAGGGTTCAGCGAGCTGAAATAAAGATGGCAAACTTTGTTCTGATTGGATGGTTATTCAGATTCTCACGTGTTCTTACGCGAAGTCACCCTGAGATTAGTGACTGGATGTCCCAGCAAAGCTTATAGCTCAAGATGGAAACAAGATGGAAAATTGGTTTGAAATTCTTAATTGCTGTTGTCGTTGATGTTTAATGCTCGCACCTGCGTTGATCTTTTAGTCAGCAGTGTCAAGGTGACTGAAAAATAACTAACAAGTTAGGACCATCCTTTCTATTCACAGGAGCCGGCGCGATAGACGGTTAATCGGCTCCTGCGCTCAAACAAGTCTGCTTGTAATCTTGTACAAAGCACTACACCACGCCACGCTTCGTCATCTTTCACTAGTTTCACTTTTTCTGAGCTCTGGTTTAGGTTTTCACATTTCTACTAGCTTTGTCGGTTTTTCTTGGCAGCTTTGGCTAATAATTGTATCTACATCTTACAAATCATCACCATCCATTTTTTATATATTAGTTTATTTTTAGTGCTTCAAACATTTTTTTAGTACTCACAGCAACGCAGTAATGTTTCTTTTCTTGACAGAGACCCAATCTCACTTTCTAGAGTTTGACTAATGGTCGCGGGTCGCCGGTTTGAAGTTTGCGAGTCGCGAGTTTAGTGTCGCGGTCGCGGGTCCAAAGTCGCGGTCATGGGTCCAATGTCGAGGTCGCGGATCCAAAGTCGCGGGTGGGGAAAATGATTTGCGTGAAATTTAAGTTTGAGTTCGAGGCAACTGAATGAATGTAATGGAAAAAAATCGTTTTTATGCACGATACTCTTCGGTAGCCAATTTCAAGTTACGAATGTTAGAGTCAATATAAATTAATACTGTCTAAAGAAAAGACCTAAAAGAAAAAGGTTGCCGACTTGTGTGTTCGCCCTAAGTGTTACTTTTTTTGTTTCTGTCTAGCCCAGTTACCTTATTCTTACTAATTTTTGCGAGTATTGAATTTCGCGATTTTAAAAAAGTCGTCAAATTTAATGCGCGCAAACAAAAGATTGCGCGAAATTTAATACCATTTTCGAAAACAAAATAAGAATTTTTAAAATGTTCTGAGTCTGGGTGCTTTTGAACTGCACACACTTACTGAACATCTTAAGTTGCCTTTTAAGCACTGAACCGTACATCACATCGACAACATACACAGGAAACAATTGTATTGAATTGTTCATAAGGTTATGTGTGGGGCACTTGTAAGTTTACAATTATAATAATTATCTTGCTTTGACTTGTTTGAAATATAGAGTTTTATTGATTTGTGACAAGTGCCCTCTGCTCAGGATTTACGAAAATAAAAACAAAGACAGAATCGCAAAATTAAGTACCCTTTTTCTCTAATTTTGTTCGCAATCGCGGAAATTAGTACTCGCGAAATCCAGCTCCCGAATACTCGCGAAATTAAGTACGCGCGAAAATTAGTAAGAATAAGGAATGTGTAAATTTAGCGTTGAATACACTTATGCGTAACAGTATCTGATAGAAAAAAATACCGTTGTTTTCTTTGTGGACTGACGTAGGACAGCACTTTTTCGGCTACTCCTTAAACCCGCACAAATGCTCAGGGGTGCATTCACTGAAAAATGTGCGATAGACTTCATAGACTACAAATTATAAACGTTACAACAACTTAAAACCTTTTTTTTTTTCAGATGGCTCACTCGGTCTCGAAAAGCTACGAGTCTGTCGGTACAAGAAACGAGAACTCTTTCATATTTAGAAATGTTTTCAGCAAATATAAAGAAAATGAAAAAAGGCCCACCAAACTTCATTCAAGCGGTATTCAAGGCATGAATTATGCAAAAAAGTCAGGATAATTAAAAGAAAGGCGATAAAAGTGTTAAGGCTGTCATGGACCAGAAGAACGTTCCTCAAAACGAGGCTTTCGCTTTGCTTTCTTTTTTTAGCAACTAAGAAGGAAACGACGGAAACGGGCGTTTACTAGACAGGAGGCGTTTAAAAGGGTCATGTAACAGCTCTTCGGAAGAGAGGTCACCAATGCTGCCTAAACCTGATCCCAAACAATACTAAAACAATTGAAAGAATGACATGTACTTGTTTCCCGCGACCAGTTATATAGGAGAGACCTTACGAACAGCTCCTACACTACTCGTTTAAAAGACAGAGAGGTGACTGGGTGGCATACGAATCTTTCTAATTTTCTGCGGCCGTGGCAATCGCTATATTTTGAGATATATGGCTGAAAACTAGCAGGTTGCTAACAAACTTCTTTAAAAACGAACTGTTTTCGTGTTTACTGAAAGTTGATCACGTGATCAACCACAGGCTAGATCAGCTAATGCCTATTAGATGAGAACAGCAAACGCATTCAATTCATTCAGTTTCTTTCTTGATTAACAAGGATTTCATTGCGTATTTCATCTTGTTCAATGTCAAGTTCAAAGTTAACAGGGGCGGATCCAGGATCTTTTCAAAGCGGTGGTTGTAATTTTGAGAATTCAAGGCAAACGTCCCAAGGCCAAGGGAATGGGGGAGGGTTGGGAGGGTAAGGGTTATGTTTGAATCTGTAGATTTTCTTTATTTAGATTTCAGAGGAATTTGACGCATTATAAGTAATGGTAATAGCGGAGCTCCACCCGCGCGCGCGTGGGCGGAGCCCCATAGCTAAAGAAATATGGTAATCTACCCATCCGAGAAAATTTGGTAATCATGTGACCGTACGCCCGACCGTCCGTCCGCACCACAGGGAAACCAATGTTTACTCTCACACTTTCTAGAGGGTCTCAATTGGGTGTTAGCTTTCACGGTTATCGGCTAAAATTTTGGCTCTTTTACGGCTATCGGTTAACAAAAAAAGTTAAAAATTAACTTCTTTTGTTTCAAAAAGTTAAATATTAATTAATCTGTATTTTTTTGTATCTTTATAATAAAGGTCTTCGGATCATCATACACATAGAAATGTCAATAGTCAATTTAAAAATAATCTTTGTGAAAAAGCAAAAGCGGACACGCAAACGCTCAACTTAAGGCTGGGGCGCGACATTCATTATTCAGAAATGGCCGTTATCACACTAGAGACGGATTATTCGTATGAGACGGGTTATCCGTTTGATGATTCGCGTCAAGTAGGTAATATTTCTTAATTTGAAAATGGAATACTTTTAATTTTGAATGAACAATCCGCCTGACTATATCCGTCGTTTTCGACGGACAGTTTGAAGACGGGATTATCCGTTCCAGATAGTCTGTGTACAACCGCCTCCTCCCCTCAGAAAAAATCGGATAAGAGGTGTCTGTGGGGAGGGCGCGACTGTAGACAGGCTAGTCTCAGACGGATAATCCATTTCTAGCTCTAGTGTGAAAACGGCCAATAACAAAATTCCCGTGTCCAGTGTTTTTAATGATAGCGAAGGACTGTACGGAACGACTCTCTGCCGTTGCCTTGTCCGTAGGCCTCATCATTCCGCGCGGCTAATGCGTTTCGGATCACGTGGTCGTAGCGAGTTCGCCACCGAAATGCCTTGACCGAGATTGCGTGGGAAGACGCCGTACAAGGACTCGGCATGGCAATGTCAACCGTAGCGTCAGAGAAACACAGGGAAATATTGTTTATCGCAACGTGTTACAAACAATGACATCTCTGCGTGTTGTTTCACTGGTGTTTCGAGGGCACGACCTCCTGAAAATCGCAAATATTAATCCCAAGCACGAAACCACACTTTCGCTATGGAAAAAAATTAGTTCCCCGAGAGAGTGCCGGAAATGGAGCATACCTAGGTCTTGGTCAACACCTAAAAGGTGCTTCCCCTCACGTGCGGACGGAGTCACACTAGCTGGGGAATAAAAGACGCAACCATAAGTGAGTTTAGTACCTCCCTTAAAAGTAGCAATTCTTGGGAACAGTAGCTTTTACGGTTAACTCTTTTTTACTCTATTTACGGCTAACGGTTAAAAATTTTCAATTTTTACTGCTATCGACTAAATTTTTGGCCGTTTTACGCCTATCGGTTAACCCCATTGAGGCCCTCAAAA